TCTGCAGTGATACCGCTGCGCCGTGTCGCCACCATCACAGCTGCGCCTTCCTCTCGGTGCGCACGGGAAGTGGGCAGGATGAGGCCTGCGAGAGACTCTTCCTCTCCGGCCGCCTGCTTCCTTGTCGGGGAGGGCAGCCATGGCTGGGGTGGGGGGCAGGTGGGGCAGCCATGGCTGGGGTGGGGGGCAGGTGGGGGGGGGGGCAGCCATGGCTGGGGTGGGGGGAAGTTGGGGGGGGGGCGGTGGGGGGGGGCAGCCATGGCTGGGGTGGGGGGCAGGTGGGGGGCGCTGCAAGACGGCAGAGCGAGCGTAGCCCGGCACCGCTCCACGCTGCGCTCATCATCTTCTCTCGGTCGTCGTGTTACACAAACCCTACACTGCCGGGCCCCGGGGGGACGGCTAAATAGGGAGCCGCGATTTCCAAAACGGGGCGGCCGGGAGTAATCGACACTCGTGACTCGCAACGGAGCTATGGGGGGGGGGGGGGGGGCTCTTTCATCGTCGCAGAGACAGGCGCCAGCACGTGGAGAGGAGTGCGGTCACTCTGAGACTTGCGCTCGCCCACACAGTCGCCTCCACGGCGCTTGGTGCCTTGCCGCGGAAGTGGCCAATGCCACGGAGTCCACGCAGAGCCACCGGACCGAGCGGCTGCGGCCACGGAGTGACGAGCGGGTGGAAGTGTGGCTCTTCCCACCGCGGACCTTCACTGTCAGCCCCCCCTCCTCACAAGCCACAGCCAAGCGACCCTGCCGCGGCACCGCTGCGCAAGTTCACGTGGTGGTGCTGCACAGCATTCCAATGTGTCTGTCACCCGCTCGTACCACCTGTTGTTCGGCGCGATGTCCGACGTTTCGCGCCGCTTGCTGGGTGCTTCTTGTCGAGCGGCTTAATTCAGTTTCTGAAGAAGCTCTCATCACGTGGAGCAACAGCTCGGGGCACGGTGCCGCATGATACGCCAGTGATGCTACCCCGCGGTCGGGAACGCCCAGGTTCACAGAGGAGCGTGCTAACCACTGCACCACTGCTCCCCGACTCTCGGTCACAACACATTTGTGCGATGAAGCTGCCGATGGAGGTTGCTCATATACGATTGGACGTAAGTTCTGGTTACCCAGCCAGTAACGTTTGTTCTTGAGCAATAAAAGTAATTACGTAAGGAGTAATGTTACAGCAAGAGAGCATGTACCTCCGTCATCTTGCCTAGAAGAGCAAAGGCCCTCTCTAGGAGCAGATAGGCCCCACGCAGGAAACAGACTCACCCCTTCATCAATGTGGAATTTCTATTTAACTACTCAAGTGACACAGTGCGTGATGCCTTCTTTCTATGTCATTCTATTGACCCATCATATGAAGCCAATTGCTCTGTAATGTCATTTTTTTTTACCAGTCAGGAGGCTCAGCGGTGGAGCGAGTGGAAGGCTTACGAGTTCAATTCCTGGTTGGAAGTTGACTCAGCCCATCGTCCCTTTGGGGAGGGGGGTAATAAATTAATAATTAATAATAAAATAATAAGCACCGCTTTGCTGTTGTCCCATGGTGGGACTCGTCCTCTGCGAAAGGAATGTGGAATTTCCACCAACGGGCTCAGGGCTGCCAACGGGAGGTGAGCACCAATGCCTCAATGCTCACGTGAGCAGAAGTCACTCCTGAGTTTTGTTTTAGTCGATGTCCTTGCAGTGCAACGAAGACAAAGATCCCCATATAGACTTCACACATTTTGGGGCCAAGTTGTCAGCGAGCACCATTTGTACCTTGACACCGTCCGGTGAGCTTCGAAGAGCCTCGACCATATTCTGGAAGTCTCAATGAATACTGCCCATGCAGACGGTGGGAGCAATCTTTAGCTTTTGTTTGGTTTCACAAAGGATTTCAAAGTCAGCCAGTATATGACCTTCTGGAGGTAGTTTCTCCCTACGTGTGTTTTGAATTTTAGTTGTCAAGTGCCGGCACTCTACAGTATTAGCGGGGACCATGCGCCATTGTAAGCTACAGCTTCAAAGCACTCCGAACATTAAAGCCAGTATCTTAATTTAAATATCATACATAACATGATCTCCCTTTGGTGTTACGCATTGTGTACTGCAGGACTGAAATTATCTAGCATTGGCAACATTAATGGGCGGCCTTGTGCTGTGTTACAGCAGAACCTCCTTCATGCCACATCGCGGCAGACGACACAATCAATCTATCGAATCAAATAATGAGTGCACTTGGTATCCGCGCCACGCTATCGGCGCAAGGCCGTCGCGAAGGGCGCTGCGTTTGACGATGAGCAGCAGAGTCGTGTCAGTAGCCGCACACCTGGGCAGAGTGGGGCAAGGTTGCTGTGTGGCCTGAGACAATTTGTTAACTTTGAGAGAAATATTATTTTTCGATTTAAAGCTTTCGTGACTGCAGGGATTCGTCTTCTTGGTTCTTTCGGTAAAGTCACGCAGAAGGGAAAAAAACATAAAAAAATAATTCTCACGACGTTTTGGTCACAACGCAAGCAACCGTCCTCAGGTGAAGAACAGGTCTGTCGGAAAGACAGCGTCTGAATGAACTAATTCATTAGTTCTGAATGAACTAATTCATTCAGACACTGTCTTTCTGACAGACCTGTTCTTCACCTGAGGACGGCTGCTTGCGTTGTGGCCGAAACGTCGTGAGAATAATTTTATTATGTTTTATTTTTATTATTTTATTATTTCCCTTCTACGTGACTTTACCGAAAGAACCAAGAAGAGAAATGTTATTATTTAGACCCCAGACTGTCTGCACACGCCACTGCCTCTCGTTTTGTTGTTCGAACAACGTCACGCGATCTTTAACGTCCACTGCGAATGATGCGGAGTGTGTATTCTTTTCCGCTCAGTACGCTCACAACACTAACCAGGGCAGCCGCCGGGATCGAAACCGCAAAACCTCCGCAACCAGCGGCGTACGCAACACCGCTCGGCCGTGTCACCATCCCGACCTCTGGCGTCACTTCAACGGCCCATTCGTAAATCATTTGATATGCCTATAAATGTTATTGCTCACAGCTGGGAAGGCCAAGCGAAGTGGAGAACCACATGTGTGCTGGCGGTGTTCGTGTGCTGCCCTAGGTGGGTGCCCTAAGATTATCAACTCCTTATTTAAGAACCGGATTTGAATTCAGTAACCCAAGATACTCAGCAGTGCTGGGTCAGGGTCTCAGACGCGGGGTCCATCCCAAACCTTCTAGTCCCCCCCCTCCCCCCATGATTCAAATCAAGATTGATGCTCCATTTTTTGCAGTCGCTTTGTATTGTTTTATACATTTCCCGTTTTACTTACAAAGGTTAGTTCGCGAAAATGAGCCTGAATGTCAAATTTGCATATCATGAGCGTGTGATTTGAATAAATCATTATTGGTTCTTACCCAGGCAGTTCGATGCACGAGTCGCGAGGCTTCGGGATCGATACTAATTGATGGACCTATTGCATCCTTATACCCCTAATTCCCCTGATCCAGCAGCATGTTGACAAAGGGCCGTAGATTATTGTTTGTATTCATTTCATTAACAGATGACAGCATGGTCACAAACGCTATGGCCATGCTGTCAGCTATTTTTAAAAATGATTTAACAAATATAAACATTGCTCAATATGGCAATGATGATGATGATGATACGTGTCACAGCGACGTTCTCGTGATAACGGAGGCGGCTTGGTCGGTCAGAGAGAACCCTTCAGAGTCCATTACAAATATCATCACACACTACGCTTCGTTACTGTCCTTGACACGAGGTAAACAACGTGGGCGTGGATTCACCAATTCGTAAATAACAGTCAGACGACAGCAACAGGCAATGCATATGTAACAATGTATATGTAACAATGTAACAGTGTGTGCAGCTCACATGATCCATGATCCCAAGTTATAAGGAAACTAAGCTATTTTGTCCCATATAAAAAATGTGGGGTTCGTCAAAGCTTATGGCCAGGAAAATTGGCATTTCCACGACCATTCCAAGACAATATCCATCCCTGTTTCCAAAAAGACAAAAACAGCTGCAGCTGCTGCTGCTAAACGTAAAAAAAAAATCCTAAATCTGCTCAACACATCCGAGACGCCGGCATCGCGTCTGTGCCTTTCTGACGAGCTAAACGCCAAATGGAACTCGCCTGAATGAAGAACGTGATTAAACAATAACTGCACAGTTATTCATACAACGCAGCAAGTAACCATCGCTGTATAAGCCACTCAATTCACCACACAGTACAAACTACGACCATTCTATTCATCGTTATCCGTTTTGTCCAACCACCGTTTCAGAAATATTTTCAGAAAAACCTCGTGGGCCCGGTCGGTGCCTCGTTGCCGACACAATTAAAACACAATTAGCATCGTGGACAGGCGAATTGCTGCTGTGGGCACGTGACCCGTTGGCGACGCTGTGACGTCACCGCTGTGCCAACATGCCCCCCCCCCCTTATAAGGCGTTGCCGCCCGTGACAGCACGCGGCCCCCACCACTCGCTCGCTCGCTCGCGTTCACGGCAATTGCCTCGCACGCAGATCTCACGCAACGATTAAAATATAAACGTACGACGAAGGTGTCTCCAGTGCATACTAATCATATCGTTTTAGTTCGTGTAAAGAAGGAAACATAAAAATGTAAACATTTAGTAACGAACAAAAAAAAATTGTGATAAGAAAAAGACGCCGTGCATGTGTCGTCTTAAAGAGTGTGTGCATCGTCAACAAATGACACTCGGGATGTGTGCTGCGTGCTGTGTGCTGCGTGCTGTGTGCTGCGTGCTGTGTGCTTCGTGCTGTGTGCTGCGTGCTGTGTGCTTCGTGCTGTGTGCTTCGTGCTGTGTGCTGCGTGTTGTGTGCTGCGTGCGAGTCGGACAGAGCTCAGGGCAGTCACGCACGAACATCTCAAAATGCCGGTACATTGTCTCGCGCTGTTATTCCCTCCATCCCTCGCCATGAACAACAGCGCCGACAAGCACACGCGCCACACCCTTTGCGACATGGCAGGAGTCACATACCTTGCTGGTCCCTGGGTTGTCACAACACAGATGATGATGGTCGTGGTGGTGGTGGTGAATCAGTCAATGGTGCTTCCGGCTTGTAAATGTAAATTCCCCCAATGAAACTGCCCTAATCTGCGTTAATGTTTAGCCCTTAAGCCACACCCGCACACTACACCCAGCACTGGGTCTAACCCGCTCGCTCGAGTGATCAAAGACAAGAGGAGATAAGAGAGATGAGAGAGAGAGACACGACTGGTATAGGTGGGTAGACGGAATGGTCGGAGGGCTGTTCGTATTTAAGCTGAAAGCCGCGAGATGTCCTCTGGAGGGAATGCAAGAGGGTTGGTCCGTTTTTATAATCTGCTCGCTTGTCTCGGGCTCCCCGCGCTCTGCCGAGTGGAAATTTCCACCATGTGCGCAGCAGCAGCAGCAGCCACCACCACGCCAAATCCAGCCCACCACCACACCCCCTCACACGCCCTCCGTCACGCTCTCCCTCACTCTTTCTCCCTCTCCCCCTGTGTGTGTGCACCACCAATAGTCGTCGTCACGTGTCGTAGCCTCGCTGCCCATCGGATGAATGATCGTGGGCGGGAGCGGTGGCGCAGTGGTTAGCGCACTGCGCGACGCGGAATACCGCGCGACGGATCCGTGGGGCGGTCACGGCTCACGGTGGACGCTCGCGACATCATCCACCATCAGTGGCCTGGCGCGGGGTATCCGAACCCGTTCCAGGCCTCTCCCGGCAATCCCCCTCCCTAGGTCAACTCAACCTTAAATATGAATGGCTGTGATTGGGGCGGTGTGTAAAACAGAAGCATTGGGGAGACAAAGGCGGGTGTGCGTGCTGCTGGCCTTCAGGAGGGACTCGCGAACAGCAATTGCCCAAAAAGTGTAATATGTTAATTAGTATGTCGTACATTAATTCTAGATTTGAAGCTTTCGTGACTGCAAGGATTCATATTCTAAGGTTTTTTTCGGTAAAGTCACGTAGGTCATTTACTTGATACAGCAAGCGTGCTGTGACGGTTCCACCTGAAGACGGAAGCTTGTGTTGCCTCCGAAACGTCGTGATTTTTATTTATATTTTATTTTACTTTCATTAATTTTATTTTTTACCTACGTGACTTTACCGAAAAAACCTTAAAATATGTCGTACATTGCCAGTAATTAAACAAATACGCTCAATGGCTTTATTGATGAACGTTAATCAAACGTTAAGGGTCAACCGTGGCAACACACATGCCGCGATAAGCTATAGGAGGGAACTTTGGCTTTGTAGACGGTTCCACATTAGGGTCGTGCTTTGGGAGGGGAGAGTTCGGGGGGTATGGTGGCCTGCGGTGGTGGGGGCGGGGTAGTGGTGCTAGGGGTGGGGGCAGGGTGGTGGTGGTGGTGGTGGGGGCAGGGTAGTGGTGGTGGTGTTGGGGGCAGGGTAGGTGGTGCTAGGGGTGGGGGCTGGGTGGTGGTGGTGGTGGGGGCAGGGTAGTGGTGGTGGTGGTGGGGGCAGGGTAGTGGTGCTATGGGTGGGGGTAGTGGTAGTGGTGGGGGTGGGGGTGGTGGGGGCAGGGTAGGTGGTGCTAGGGGTGGGGGCAGGGTAGGTGGTGGTGGGGGGTGTAACATCCACACCCCTCATCCACCCACACCCACCCAGTCGTGGTCGTGAACCAAATCGGGCCACGTGTGGCAGGGCAGAGATGCATGGCGACGAATTGGGAAGACCTTCAGCCAGCAGTGGATAGATCACGGCCTATGGTGGTGATGATGGTGATGATCACGGCGTAATTGCTCGTGGAATATTTCCCGGTACCCTCATGGTATGGTTGTTATTGTTAGTAGTGTGTGTGTGTCATCAGCGTTGTCATTACCCGGTAGTCCCACAATCCCATCACGACATCTCGCCACCGTGACTCATGCCTGTGTCAGTGCACTGACATTACACAGAAGACGCTTTTATCTTTTGACGTTTTGCCTTCCCCCCCCCGCCAATTACATTCCAGCTGGGGTTCAGGGTCATGCCGTGACTCGAAGGTAATTTCTATTCCGAACTCTAACCGATAGCGGTGATTGACAAAAAAAACACATTTGACCACAGAAAAGTAACCGATTGCAAGTTTGAACCGATTATAACACACGAATGGTCCCAGCTCTAATCAAATGTCAAACCAAACATTTGCATTTCGATTTAAAGCTTTCGTGACTGCAGGGATTCATCTTCTTGGTTCTTTCGGTAAAGTCACGTAGAAGGGAAGTAATAAAATAATAAAAATAAAACATAATAAAACAATTCTCACGACGTTTCGGCCACAACGCAAGCAGCCGTCCTCAGGTGAAAACCAGGTCCGTCGAGGCGACAGAGTCTGAATGACTGCTGTTTCATTCAGACTCTGTCGCCTCGACGGACCTGGTTTTCACCTGAGGACGGCTGCTTGCGTTGTGGCCGAAACGTCGTGAGAATTGTTTTATTATGTTTTATTTTTATTATTTTATTACTTCCCTTCTACGTGACTTTACCGAAAGAACCAAGAAGACAAACATTTGCACTTTGGAAAAGGAGATAATCCGAATTGAGCGTCTCAGTGTGACGTCACATGTATCACGTGACGTGAAACACGTGCGGTCGTCACGATTCAGGGATGAGATGGTGGACTTTCCCTTCCGTGTGGAGGGGGGGGGGCGCTTTCTTTCGAACCCGCGTCCTCACTCGCGCTGCCCCCCTCAGTGCTGCGACCTCCTCGTGTCACGGTGGGTGGAGTTGGGACGTGAAAAGCGTCCAGTGTTCACGCCGTGCCTGTGGCGGAGCCAACACGATTCCCATCAAGTCAATGTCCCGCCACCGTTACGCTTTGCATGCGACACGCACATCCGGCATGCCGTCACGTGTCGGTGTGTCCCCCCTCTTCAGGCCTCTTCACCTTCACCGGCCACGCGCCCTCGCCAAGCCTCTCGCACGACCACGCGTGCCGTCCTGAGAGCCGAGCTCCGAGCTATGTCAACATCGCAGCGCCGAGTAACAGGCGCAATGGCAGACACAGGCAAAGCACGTGACGCGGCTCTGCATCGGCGAGAGGCAAAGTCAACCTGGTCGGGATGATTGAAAGCCCCTCTCGTCCTGTCAACCAATCGCCGCCTGTGGGAGTTACCCGTCCCTGGCACTCAGACGCGCGCACACACACCGAGCTCCAGCCATGCAGGGGGGTCATGCAGCCTCAGTCCCCCCTCTCATCGCACCACGGGTCAACTCTCCCTGTTAAGCAACGACGCCCATTTGCATATAAAGCCGCAAATCGCGGCAGTGGTGTTGAGGTGTTCGGGCACTCCGTGTGTACTCCCGGCTAACATCAGTGGCGAGCCGAAGGTGGAACCTCCTCCCACCGCCGCAGCGGTGGCTGCATATGCTCCGAAATCAGCCACCCGAGTTCGAATCCCAGCAAATGCCTAATAACATTGGTGGCTGAAAGAGACGTCGTTTTTTCGACGAGTGCACTTGAGTATTTCACTGCAGTTGCGTGCGGTGCCGCGGTGGTGGTTTGTCGCACTGCACTGCAACCCGGAGACCCGAGTTCGACTCCCAGCCACAGGGCTGACATCAGAGGCAAGAGGGGCACCCGGGACACCGTTCTGGGCCACCCGGCGACCTTCAGCGACGTCACGCCGATGAACCACACGGGCGAAGTATGGTCAACTCACCGCCGTGACCGAGGAGGCCTTCTACCAGCAGCGGATGGACAGAGGACACTCAATTCACAGAATAACGAATTTAAAAGGCACCGTATGGTTTGTGAACACTTTTTTATCGGACATCTGTTGGCCTCCAAGCCTTGGAGAGATCGATGTTTTCCGAGCAACACGAGACACTTGGACCGCTCTTCTCATGTCACAAGACCTCCCTGTCAGCTCTACAATTGCCAAAGTGTGCAGCAGCCAAAACACACACCCCGAGAGCCATCTCACACGTGAAGGTGCGCCTCCTATCGTGCTGCACGTACACAGTGTTACATGGCACACGCAGGTAATATAACTGTACACGATTCGAATAATGCTTAACAAAAACACTTTTTTAAAGATGATAACTATAGTTCTGCATTATTATACGGCCAATTGTCGCATCTATTGCTTGAAGGTTTCCACACATAGCGTATGGTGTGTATTTGTCTACCGTACTTCACGAGCATGGCCAGTGCGTGTTGAAGGGGGTGGTGGGGCGAGGGCAGGGTTCAGACCGCACTCCCCGCTAATTGTAGCCGTGCCCGGGAATTCAACTTGAGTCTGCTGGGTTCATAGCGGACTGTGCTTAGCTCTGCTTAGAACGTACAGTGCACACACGTCACAGTTGCTCGGCCCTCACCTGAAGGCATGTTCCTCAACATGACCATCACCTAAGAGTACCAACGATATTGCAACAGACACGACCACATTTCTCGAGCTGGGCAAGGTGACAAACACCTCGGGGTGGAGCGGTCACACAGAGGCTCTAGCCCAGCGCTGTGAACTCACTTACCCATCACGAGGCTCACATCGATGGTGAGTGACTATCTTAGCCGAGGCTGGCTCTGCATTGACCAACGCGGTCAAGTGAGGTCTAACAAACCCCTTGGCAGAGGCACGGCATGGGGTTGCCTTCACTTATTGTTTACAAAAGGGATGTCGTCATTTGTATTATAATATATATAGGAACTTGGGCAAAAAGAAACAATGGGATTCCAAAGTTGAGCAGTACGCGGAAAGGAGTTGAACAGAAGGGGACCTCGTACGGAAAGTCACGTCCGGTGCGACAGAATTCCAGAGCGGGCACAAGACAAAAGACAAAACTGTCCGTGTCCCCATGTGCCTCGCCCAGCGAGGTGGATTCTTGTGCAGAGCGAGTTGAGTATGAAACAATAAGAACGGGCGTTACCCTTGCAGGCAATACAACGGGTGTTACGATGTGCCATCACCAAATAGACACCGTTTGCAAGGAGTCAAGTCTGCATTAACCGCAAGCATTTGTGGTTAATGCAGACACGTTTGTTTGCATGTTCACCATAAGTACGTGTCGTTAATGCAGACGTGATTCCTTACTAAACGGTATCTATTCGGTGTTTGAACATCTTAACACCTGTTTTATTGCCAGAAAGGGTAACACCTAGTCTTATTTCTATTCTTATTTTTTCATACTTTGATACTGCCAAAAAGGTCCCAGTTTGTCGCGAGTTGATTATTCGCGTCTGGGTCTGGACCTTCTTCCACGTGGTCTCATCTCGCGTGTCAAGAAAGGCGAGTGCAGACATGCGTGTCTGATCAAAACTCATGTAAGCCGGGAGGGTTAGGGGCGTTTACGACGTCGCATGTTGACTACGATGATGAGCCAAACATGTCTGTGTGTCCCGCGCGTGACGTCACTCCACGTCGGCCA